TACGTTCTGCCTATCATTCAAGAGCTCAAGGTAGCACACACAACATTCCCTCTTTCATTTTCTCCCCTGGGAGTAAGTTGGGCTGATAGAAAGAAACTGCCCCACAGTCACCTAGTGGTTTGGTTTCCTTGGCTGAGAGTTAATTTGAACCTGGATCTCTCTGGTACCAGTTCAACTACTATACTACAGAATTGCTATTTGTGCAAAATTCATTCCACATAGGAGAAATAAACAGCATTCTCAATGCAAAACAATAATTGTACATAATGCTGACCTCAGAAATCGCAACATTCAAGGCATTTGATCAATGAACTTAAAGTGGCTATGCCTTTCAAAGGAATTTTGAAGGTGAATCTAGCAAAAACCTGCCAAATTTATACTTACTAAAAAGTTTCATTCCATCATTCTTATAAGTGGTGGGATTCAATTTTTTTTACTACCGGTTCTGTGCACGTGGCTTGGTGGGTGTGGCAGGGGGAAGGATACTGTAAAATGTCCAGTCAGAGGTGGTATTTACCGGTTCTCTGAACTACTCAAAATTTCCACTACCGGTTCTCCAGAATTGGTCAGAACCTGCTGAATACTACCTCTGATTCTTATGGAATAAAATTATTTTTAATTCCATCACAAATATTAACTATCAGTGCCTGGAAATTTATTAATGTTGAATGATCATTATAATTTAAAACATATATTTACTTTTATTTTAATTGTTCCTGTTGATATTTTGTCCATTATAGTTATTTCCCCTCAATTTTAACATTTACATGAATTGTATGTATGTATTGCTTGTATGTATATGTGAATATAAATTTTGCATTGCAGAATATTCAATAGTTTTTAAGACATGAAAAATCTCTGCTGGGAAGATTTATTCGGGACTACAAGTTTGAGCCTTAGGCCATAGGCTCCTCAAGCAATTTTCTTAATCACTAGAGATATCTGCCAAAGCCAGATGGATGCAAAGGAAATAGAGTTTCTTCACATCTTACATAGTAGCTGTATTAGTTAAACAGGAACTGGATTTGGCCAAAGAATCAGAACCAGCCTTCCAGCTTTACTTGACCCAGCTAGATAGATGACATCAGAAGCAGAGTGGAGCTTAATTGATACCACTCTTGTGAAATAGATCGATATCCATATTAGCTGCTAACCACGGTAATTTTAGCTGGGCATCAGGGTGAAATTGATGCCACATGTCCAAAGCATGCCCAGAGGCTAGAATTAATGAAGGGATAAAATAAAAACCCTTCACTGGAATTAAACCTATCTACAGTCTAATATCAGTATCACCTTTTAAAATTAAAAAAAAAATGACTGCATCCTGTTTTGCAAGCAAATGAATGTATTTCTGTTACAGTCTAAGACTGTCGTGCATAATTGACAACAAAGCTAAGAGTTTCATCCATTAAGATCCATTTCACAAACTATCCCTTTCCTTTTCTCTCTAAGACCTGACTAATTGTTCATTGATTTCAACCACCAGGTTGATCCTTGGTTCCACTGTATCAAATTGGAACAGAAGCTGTTCCGTAGACAACTGAAATTAAAAGCAGAGCAATAATAAGATTTTTTTTAAAAAATCTGCAAGAAATCAGTTGTTCTCCAACGGAAGGGCCAAAACATCCTGAATAACTACCAAATCCAACCAGAGACGCAGGGCCACCCCTCCCCTCCCTGCCCCTCCCTGCCCCTCCCTTATTCATAGCCCGAGGGGTGGCTTCTTTGCCTAATTCACTTTCCATGCTTTTTGCCTTCCGGAGCTTAAGCTTTTCTTTCCTCATTTTCACACTGGAAAAATGAGAACGTCCTCATTCACGAGCTGTGTGGTTCTGAGTGACTTTAAGGCAAAGCCTGAAAATGTGATTTCTTCCCACCTTTGTGCAAGCCTTTAAGTGCATTCAGAGGTTGAGTTTACTCGAGTGCACCCTGGCAGGCTCCTGGAAAGGTCAATGTGGCTCTCCAATCATCAGCCTGCATGGCTCTCCCTCCTCCTGCCTCCCTCTGGGGGCATGAATATAATATTGCACTACCCTGCAGTTACAATTAACCCCTGAGGAGCCCTAATCGAGCGCTGAGCCTGAGTTGACTGCCCTGAACATGTCCGCCTGGCCTGTCCCTATCTTCAGAAGGAAATGGGGGTTGCCTTTTCCCAACCTTTTCCCAACCATTCCCTCCTAATCATCTCATGGCAGGAAGAAAAAGGAGGCAGTTAACTAGGATGTGGAGACAGACAGCCACGAATAATGTAAGTCTCCCCAGACACAGCTGAGTAATGAAGGCTGTGAGATACAGATGCAACCTTCTCTCCTCTTTCTCCTTCTAGAGGAACTTCCTGAACATACTTTCTACAAGCCACCAAGATCTTCTTCTTCTTTACATCATTAGGGATCGGTTGTAAAACATGCCACTTATTTATTGTTAAAGTGACATTTCCACCCACATTCTATAAAACATCTCAACATGGCTAACAACCAAGCATGAACATTAAAAATGCAACCACATTTCAACTTTCACGTACCACGAGGTACCACAGCACTACCTGAAGAATGCAAATGCTGGACTCATCCTCCATCATAGCCCAACGCTTAGAGAAAAGGCTGGGCCTTAATAGCCTTCCAGAAGGTAAGCAGGATAGGAGTTCCCTCCATCTTGCAACCGTAGTGGAGTGGTGGCCTTATAGGAAGAGCTTAGAACTGGAAGACCTCGTGCTATTAGAATCCTATCCTTGGCCTTGTTATACATTTTCCTTGATTGCATTTGGCTATTGGTGTAAAACCAAGGGTCTTCAAACTTGACAGCTGTAAGACTTGTGGACTTCAACTCCCAGAATTCCAGAGCTAACATGACTGGAGAGGGAATTCTGGGAGTTGAAGTCCACAAGTCTTACAGCTGTCAAGTTTGAAGAGCCCTGGTGTAAACCCTTCTGACTTAATGTAAGAAATGGTTGTAACAATGGCTGTCCAATGTAAGGGAATATTATAGAGATATATGTATTTACATAAATGCAGAGCTCATATATTGTAAAGATAATATGAGTTTCTATCAGCATTTCCTCCCCCCAAACCCTGATAATTTGTTGATAGTTACAAGAATTGGTATGTAAATCTATTTTCTAAACCGATTTTAGGAAAAAAATGGACAAGGCAAATGACCAACCAACAAATGATTATTTTGCATGTAACGTGAAATAGAAGAAGATGAATAGTGAGTCTGAGCAGAGAGGACAAAGAAATGATCATAGCCAAGACATAAATATTGACATGACATGGTAATCAGACCCATCACATTATTTAATGAGAAAGGGCTGGTTTAATTAAATCTAAGCAAGAAGCCAAGCCTTGCTTATGAGATAGTTGAGGCCTGGGCTAAATCTGCTAAGATACCTACTGGTGGAAACTGTTTCCTTCTTGCAGTAAAGAGGAGTGATAAGTCAAGCTTTTGGCTCACTGGCTGAATCCATGAGATAGCCAAAGCAATATCCAATCAGTCATTGGGGGTGGTGGGGTTTCAAATTATCTTGCTTTTTTGGAAGATAATAAGATGAATAAAATGAAAGACAATGGCTTTTGAAAAATGTACTGATACAGAAGCTTTAGATGCATTTAGCACATATATCCAGCACTTCATTCTTAAAAGGAAATGCACTAAAGCTATAAACGTGCCTAGAAGTTATGTCCTATGTCCCAAGAATCTTTGCACCTTAAGTCAGATCTGTGACTCCTGTTGTTTATTAGGGGAAAGAAACTGTCCAAGCTGGCACATTATCTTCATTATGAATTTATGTTATGGGCCTGAGCCTTTCTTTAAGGAATTTAATGCAATGCATTCTCCAAATTACGTCCTGCAGATTTATTGTCACTTAAGCAATGTGTTTAGGGGTTCACCTAAGAACCTCAGAACTGTTCAGGCAAGCCCCCAAAACACATTGGATATGTGGCAATAAATGTGCAGAATATGATCTTGGGAATACATTGCATTAATTTCCTTGAGGACAAAATGCAAGTTTTAAATGTTTTTAAATAGATAAATCCTTTCATCATGCTACCCAAATACTTCAAGCCTCTGAATGTGTGTGTGTGTGTGTGTGTGTGTGTGTGTACATGAGAGAGGGGGGGAGGGGGGAGGGAGACAGAAAGGGAAAGAGAGAGAATATAACATTTAAGAACAAATTGCAAGTTTTCAAATCCATCAAGGCTTCTTCCCATCCAGACAAAGAATGTTTAAGTACCAAGAAAATTACATCGATCTGCCTGCTATCCATGTGAAAACTCTGATGCCTTCATGTTATTGGCTAGTCCAGAGGCAAAATAGGGAAACATAATCCAAAATGGCAATTTTAGCTCAAAAACACTGTCCTCGTTGATACCTTTCCCCCCCTCAGAGTAATTCTTCCTGCCTTTCCCTGAGTTCCAATTATCTGGTAGGCAGAGAAAGCTGCAGTCAGACAAACTCCTAGTTTCATCACTTGTTGCTAACTTATGCTTCCTCTAACTCAAAAGCCACAGACGATCATTATAACTTTCCAAGGGTTCCTATTTGATTAGACTATCTTTGCTGTAGCATGAAAAGAAACAGAGAAATGAAGCCAGCAGCATCTCCATTCTCTGTGCAGCAGGCAGGTTTCACTTATCAATTTACATCCTTTCTCCCTTCCTTTGTGTGCGCTTTAATCTAATTTAGACTGTAAACTCTTCAGGGCAGGAACTTGGCTCCATCTAATATATTATGAAATGAGTCTGCCATGAGATAACAGGAAGCAATCAAATCTTGCTTTTTGGTGCCCACTGAGCTATTACACCCTAAAGGAAACTAGGAAAAAAATAAATAAAAGATCTGCTAATATAATTAACTATCAAAGTCTCTTTATATTCGCTTGCTTTCTCCTATCTCTGGCTTCCACAGATTTAGAAAAACAAACAAGCTGTTTTTTTTTTTTAATAATTCAAGGAAATCCAACTTTGATGCAATATATTTTAAAAAATGAAAATCATCTTTACCTGTGACAGTCACCAACATGGAGGCTACTAAGGGACGATTGTTGTCCAGTTTACGGCTGAGTCGGAGTTCTCCACTGGTCTGGTTGACAATTAACAAGTGCAGTTCATTTCCGCGTTCAAAGGTGTAAAACAGCTTATCAGACACATCTGGGTCATAAGCAGGGATCTTCCCTATCACACCGGAAGGAAAGGTGTTGGATTTGTTGGAGATATAGTTGTTAAAGAGGATCTGGAAGTTTTTCAGAACGGGAGTGTTATCATTCTGGTCAATGAGTTTCATGTGGACTGTAGCTCTGCTGACAAGCGGGGCGGAAGTGGCCTGAACCACAATGACATACTCAGGCTTGGTCTCATAATCCAAATCAATGAGGGCAGTGAGCTCACCCGAAAATATGTCCATCTGGAAGATCTCAGGGATATTGCCTTCCACAATTTGGTACATAATCTGGGCATTGGGTCCTTCATCTGGATCCAGGGCTGTGATTTGGGCCACGACAGAACCCACAATGCTATTTTCCTTCACAAAGACTTCAAACTCCTCGGCCGGAAAAACCGGAGCGTTGTCATTAATATCTTGCACCGACACTTGGATGTGGACAGGGGTTCTTTGGGGAGGCATCCCCCTGTCCACAGCATAGGCAGTGAGTTCGTAAACAGGAATGCTTTCCCGGTCCAACCTGCGGATAGTTCGAATAATCCCAGAGGTGGGCTCAATAATGAAATCCCCATCCCCGTCCTCTCCGTTCTGGAACGTGTATTGCACCCGTCCATTGGCGTGGGCGTCCCTGTCAGTGGCAGAGATCTGGAGCACACTTGTGAAGGGAGGGCTGTCCTCGGAGATGACACCCTGGTAGTGAGCACTCACAAACTGAGGGGCATTGTCATTGACATCATTCACCATGATTTCCACATAGGTTGTATCTGCTTTCTGGGGGATCCCGTTATCTTTCGCGGTGATGGCCAGGGTGTAGGTGACCTGGTCCTCATAATCCAGCTCTGCCTGCAGGGTGATGGCGCCCGTGTTTGCATCAATCCGAAACTGGGGGATATTGTCTTCCAAGTAGTAGGTAATCCTGGCATTTTCTCCCACATCGTCATCTGTGGCACTGATCACCACCACCGTGCTGCCAATTGGACGGTCCTCATTAACGCTTACTGAATAATGGGCACTCTGGAACACCGGCCTGTGGGTGTTGGCATCCGTAATGTTGATATGAACATGGCAGTTGTCGTGCAGGGTCCGGTCAGAGGCTGTCACTGTTAGCACAAATCGCCTCTCTTGTTTGTAATCCAGGGGCAAAGAGAGGGTGATTAATCCCACTCCTCCTTGAGTGCTGATAGCAAAACGGTTCCGTGTGTTCCCACCTGTTATCTGATAGCTGATGGCACTATTCACATCCCGGTCAATTGCTGTTACACTAAGGACACTAGTCCCCACCGCAGCGTCTTCGTTGAGGCGAATGAGATATTCTTTCTGGGTAAATTCGGGCCGGTTATCGTTTACATCCATGACAGTGATGGTGACACTAGCGGAAGCGGATAAAGAGGGAGAGCCATGGTCCCGGGCTTCTACCCCAAAAAAGTAGTGCTGAACAGTCTCTCGATCCAAAGGGCCACTCACAGTAATCCAGCCCGTGGCACTGTTCACTACAAAGGGGGTATCAGAAGCGACCCCAGTGAGCTTGTACTCAACGCGTGAGTTCTCTCCATAATCCGCATCCACGGCCTGGATGTGGATTACTGAATGGCCCAAGGGGGCATTTTCCAAGACTGATATTTGAAACGGAGTGCTGACAAAGATAGGAGCATGATCGTTAATATCCACTACTTGGATGCTAACCATGCCGGTGTTATTGGACAAAGGAGGACGTCCGGCATCCTGGGCACGTATCCTCAAGGCATATTCTCGCTCAACTTCAAAATCCAAAGGAGCTACCACCTGTATTTCCCCAGTCACACTGTCAATTGAAAATTGTCCCCTACTATTACCACTGATGATGTTATAATGAACTAAAGCATTGTTGTCTTTGTCTAAATCAGTGGCGGTGACTCTTAAAATTTCTGAATGGGGCCTTATATCTTCTCTTACCTGGACTATATACCGCTTTTCACTAAATTGTGGGACATTGTCATTTTCATCAAGAACTGTTATATACACTCTAACTGTGGAGGACAGAGGTCCGGGCTCCTTACCCTGATCGTTCGACTCCACCACCAAAGAATACTTCTCCATTTTCTCCCTATCTACTTGCCCGCTTGTAGTGATCAGCCCTGACCGTGAATCTATCTCAAAGACAGAGTGAGCGGCTTGTTCATTGACAAATCGATACCGGATGTGGGCGTTGGGTGGAGAGTCCACATCGGTGGCCCTCAGCTGCAAAATGGGATAGCCTTCTTCTACATTTTCCCGGATCGTCTCTCTGTACTCACTCTGCTCAAATACTGGGTTATGGTCATTTCTATCTGCAACTGTGATTGCAACCATGGTGGTGGCAGAGAGACGGGGAATCCCATGATCTATAGCAGTCACTCGGAAGTAATGTAGGTCCATATTTTCCCTATCCAAAACTTCGGTGGTACTGATGAGGCCATTTTGGGAATCAATGCTGAACAGTTCCAGAGACCTGCTGTTCATCAGAGCATCCATGGAATAGACTAGCCGCCCAGCTTCCCCCGAATCAGAGTCTTGGGCTGCCACCGTTATCACTGGGGTGCCTGAAGGCTGGTTTTCAGCCACCTGGACTTGGTAATTATACTGAGGGAAGAGGGGGTGACGATTGGCTGCCCTCCGAGCCCTCAGCAAGGGCAGAGGCGCCCCTTCTCTTCGGCTCCTCTTCTTGGCACACGCGGAATAGGTTATTTCACTCTGAGGAGCTGGGTGAGGGGCTTTTAAGGGCAGGGAGGGAAAGAATCCCGGGATTGATGGACTCCTAAAATTCACCTCAAAACAAAGAGTTTGTAAACAGCCTTTGGTCGAGTGGAATGGAGGGAAAGAGAAGAGGAGCTCGCGCCTTCTCCAGTCTACGTTGGGATTGGCTCCCAGAAAAGCAGAGGGAGCTGTCCGAGCTGCTGAAACCGCCGAAGCGGCTCTCGCCCAGCCTTTTCTGGTCCAGGTACAAAGGCAGCATCGCTCCGGGCTGCTCCCACAGCACTCGCCGGCGCAGCAGCAGCTGCGGGAAATTCCACGGGGCAGCGGTTGCCCCAGGCAGAGCTGAAGGCAGGTCAGCAGGGTGAACCACCTGCAGAAAGGCGAACGGGCTCCCGGGCGGGAAAAGGAAGCCAGTCGCATAATCGAGGACCACGGAGGCATGGAGGGACTGCCGCCTTTTCTCTTAGCTCGGCTGGCCGAGCGCTCGGAGCTCCTCAGCAAGCAGAGGTCGGTGCAGTTCTGAAGGCGGCGAGATAGCTTTGTACCCAGGTGGAATCGCCGGAGACGGGTTGGAGTCCTGTTAAAACGATTTGGAAAGGGATCCTTCATCCCATTGGACACCCCATTGTCCGGCTGGCTCGAGCCCCTCCTAGGGCGTTGATTGGAAGGGCTCGAGTAGACGCCCATCTGCGCGGAATCCACCCCAACCCCAGCGAGCCTCGCCAGGCATGCCCAGGTAGTCCGCGCACGGCTTTTCCCGAGCCTTGCCGGCCTCGGAGGATCCGGAAGAAGTGCGGAAGCATTTATAATCCACAAGCAAGGGGAAGCGCTGCCCGGCTGTCCCAGGGTACCAACCGGGCAGCGGATCGTCCTCTTTTCCCAAGGTGGGGTCAGGGATCCCCCGCGAGAAAAGCTGCCGTTCTTCTTCCTTTGCCCCGCCAGAGGTTGCGAGAGGGAGCCCGCGCAGCACCGATCGTCCTCCCGGAGCCTGGCGGACGGCGAGGTTTCCTTTAGTTCCCCGAAGAGAGCGCAGCCCGGCCAACCACCGCTCGGCTTCGCCCGGTGGATGCAGCCCAAGCCCCCTCTGCCCGCTGGCTTTCCCAAGCTGAAGCGAAACAAAGGGAGAAGCAGCAGCAGCAGCAGCAGCTCCAGGCGGCGATCCTGGCGAGGACGGCGCTGGTTTGGTCCCGGAGGTTGAGGCGGCGGTTCAGCCATGGTCCCTCGGCTCTTTCCCCGCCCCCCTGGCCGGCTGCCCTGGCCTGGCGCTGCTCCCCCGGCCCCGCCTCGCTTCGAGCTCTGCCGCCTTGCCAGGTTCGGCTGCCGCCGCCACCATCTATCTGGAAGCGGCGCTGCCGCGGCTTTTTCCTCGGCTCTCCCCGCTCCGTGCCGACGGCGGAGGCAGCGGCATCGCCTCCTCCCGTAGCCTCAACATGGCTCCCGGCTGCCCCGATGGTCCGTTCCGCCCACCCGGCTAACCCCCCTCTTGTCGCCCTACCGTGGTAGCGCCCACCCGTATAGCGTAGACGGGTGAAGCAAACCCCTCCGCCATCTTCACTGTGGGCAGGTTGGGTCGTGGGGATGGGGGGGAGCGGGGGGTAGGGTGGGGGAAAGAGGCTGGGAGGATGAGGGTGGCGACCGTCTCGCTAAGACTGGCGAAGGGATGTGGGTAGAAAGGCCGCTAAGATCCGGAGGAGAGGATCGCGTCTGGATTCCATTCGGGCCTTTCGACCGTGGAGGGAGCTGTCCAACGTGTTGATTTAGAACTCCGGGATCCAATCAGGGATGCCAAAGCAGTTGACGGCGACTGGATAGAGGAAGGCTGGGCGATCCTCCAGGAGGGTGTTTGGTCGCATGGGCGTGTCCTGGAGAGCCTCTTCTACCCAGGCACGCCCCCTTCCAGTTGTGGTAGTAGTAGCACAGGTACCAGAATCCGCAGCCAGTCATGGTTGACTTATCTCCTGCTGAGGAAACCTAGGGGAGCAAAGCTCCCTCAGTTTGTTTTGCACACATTGTCAGGTGAAAGAGAGTCCCCCTTTCTTTACTACATTTACGTATGGGCAAAGGAACAGAACCTTATATAGTAAATTATATATGTCCTACCAGTTAATGACTACTTCAGCTTCAACCGCAACAATACAAGAGCACACAACAGATACAAACTCAATATTAACCGCTCCAAACTTGATTGCAGAAAGTACGACAACAGAGTGGTCAATGCTTGGAATGCACTACCTGACTCTGTTGTTACATCCTTTAACACCCCCCCACGCCTTTAACCTCAAATATCCACTATTGACCTCACCCCATTCCTAAGAGGTCTGTGCCATAAGTGCACAGTCGTGCCTACCGTCCCTGTCCTATTGTCCCCATTTATTCGTACCTATTTCCTGTATTCTTACTCATGTTTATACTTATACCTATTATCTTGTAAGTGATTGACAAATCAAATCAAATAAATAAATAAATAAAATGAGCAAGTGTAAGGATTCATTGAAGAAAAGGGTTGGACTAGGGGGTCCTTGGTGCTCTCTGAGCTTGGGGGGTTTTCTTGCAGACATTTTAATTACCCAACTGGGTAACATCATCAGTGCTCCTGTAAGGACTCACTTGAGAGGTTCTTACTCCTGTCGTAGAACATACAAACTTTACCTTCTGTAGGTGTTATTGTGCTGGTTAGAGTTATAGTGCTAATTACTTGCTAGAAAACAATAGATGCTATTATGTTTTCTATTTGTTCAAATACAGACATTTTTTTTTCAGTTTCCATACGAGCCTAAAAAAAAGGGATGAAGATGAAGAAGATGATTGATAAATCTAAGGGTTGCACTGAAGAAGCCCTGTTTTCATTATTTGTTTCATTAAAACGAACATTTTTTCCTGCTTCACACAAAAACCTGAAAAGACAGGCTACTGTACTAGGAAAAGTGCAATGTCCATACTTGGGACAAAGTCTAATTTTTTTAAAAAATAACTTTCAATGCTTTGTGTAGTCTAATGTGTTTTAAGGCAGGGGTGTCAAACTGGCGGTTTGCTGGCTGGATGCATCATGCACAGGTTACGTCCACCCCAGCGCCACAAATGGGAAAAACATCATGAAACATCATCTGACAGCAACGTGATGCGGTGAGCTTGACACCTGTGTTCTAAGGTGTTCTAAGGTGACTGACAGGAGACAAAGCACTTTTAAGTATAGCTCAACACCCTACTACACCAAAGACAGCAAATACTTCATTTGGTTTTGTTTTATTGTGTGTTCTACTAGCAAAAGTTAAGACAAGTTCCAGGATTTGATCATGGAACCAGCATACTGAAAGCAAAGTGCAGTAGATATGATTCATCTCTCTCTATATAAAAATGAAAAAGCACTCACACATCATCACAAAATCTCCAGAATGGTAGAGCTTACAAACTTGAAATTTGGCACGTATGTTCCTCTTGGCTTCTAGGTGCTCATTAAGAAAGGATTTTTTGAAATGACCATCACAGCATTAGAATTTCATGTATTATTATTAACATGCTCTGATGCTAAGGAGTTCTACTCCCCCTCCCCACCTGAAAAGAAATCTGTCCCAAATGCAAAACACAAGCAGAGGAGAGGAGTTTCAATTTCAATTTCACAGCCCCAAGCAGCTTTAGTACAGAACAGTTGAGCTAAGCCACACCCAAGCTCCTTGTTTTCTCCTTCTTGCTCACACAGCAAATACTGTTTTGGTTTACAAACAGCCTTCAATTCTGTCACACACTAACAGGATGCTAGCCAGATGAATACTGATGGATGCTGGTAGGCAGAGGCAGAATTTTTTTTCTTTATTTTCTTCCCTCAAAACTAAGCCTGGCCACATAGTTTTGTAGCAAAGTACGGGTATCAAGCTAGTTATTAATAATGTTGATTGAACGAAGCAAAATTGTTAAGATAGTAAAAAACATGGAAAAAATAGAATGGCAATTTAATGTGACTTTAATTGTTAGAAACCTCAAACAGCAACTTCCCTTTGACAAGTTCTGTAATTGTTAAGCTGTCTCTCTGTAAGGACCCTGGATACTGAGTTCAATCACAATTTGCTATTGTGAGTGAGCTACTACCACTTAACATCCTTAGAAATATTGTGACACCTGCTTCGAAGGAAGACAGAGTCGGGTTGCAACTCTTCTAACAAAATTAGATTTCTCCATACCTGCAAAATACATATAAGGTTATAACAAGCATGCATGTAACACATAGAAGGCTGGCATGAACACCTTTGCTTCTGCTTTGAGTTAATTGTATGAGTTTTTTTTCTTTCTTGTTTGTTTTCAATATTAGGGCTACCTGTTATAGGTTGAAAAAGTCTTAATGGCTTAATGGTCTTGATAGCAAAGGAAGTTTTATATTTCTTCAGAATTGTCATCTGGATTTTTGTAGCCGAAATCTGGCAGTTCTAGTAATATTCCTGTAATGATTTTTTTCTGAGGCTGGGAAAGAGGCAGGAATTGTGGAAGATATTGAAGGTCCAGCATAGGTAGAAATTCCTCCCTTATCTGGTACATCTCTAGCTGCATCACCTATTCATCAAAGAGAATGAAGACGACAAAGGGGATCCTAAATATGAAAGTATTTAGTTGTCAAGGGTCTTGTGTGTGTGTGTGTGTGTGTGTGTGTGTGTGTGTGTGTGAGAGAGAGAGAGAGAGAGAGAGAGAGAGAGAGAGAGAGAGAGAGAGAGAGAGAGAGAGAGAGAGATGAAGGGGAATCTAGTATTAAGAGAAATCTGAAAGATGTTGTAAGGGTACTCAAATTAGCTTAAAGGAGATAACAAGAGTGATGTTAAGGCAGAGGAAGAAGTAAGTAGAAAGATGGACATAAGAAGATGGTGAAGAATAAACCTACAAGGAAATGTTCAGTAGAGCAAACTGAAAATGGATGCTTCCTGGTCATGAGCTGTAGGCTATGGGTGTACCAAAGCTTATTTTGGGTTACAGTGGCAAATAATTTTAGTTCCCATTAAAGTACAATTCTACATTAAATTGTTTTTGCATCAGGAGCTGAGAATTAGGAAAAAGAACAATGAGAAGCAAAGGGTAGGAGGGAGGAGTTTATACTGCTGCTTTTAGAAAAGGTGTTAAGAAAATACAAAAAGATGCCTGTGCCATATGGAAATAGTCCTGCAGATATGAGCATAATTTGGCCAGATTTAAAGCAGACTAATTAAAATCAATCTATCACACTTGTAGACTACTCAGGATGACTCTGGGTCATATTAAAATCATAAATAATCAGTCCATAAATTAAAACCACAAAAAGGAAAAGATGCTCATAGAAAAAGACAACAGACACAATCAAACAGTAACAGTCTCAAACAGCAAAATCAACCCTCAATGGGCTTATACCATACTTAGGCCCAATGACTAAAGAAAAATCCAAGCCTTAACAATTATCTAAAAGAGAGAGGGCCCACACTCTTCAGATTACTGGGAGGAATGCTATTCAGTGCTAGAAAAGCCCACCTCCTGGACCCCATCAGATGAATTGCTTTAATAGACTGCACTTGAATTGTCATGTATGCCGATCGGAAGGAAGGCGTGAGACTCAGTGACTTTTTAGCTCTTTATTCATTCCGAGATCGGCTCGGCTCGGCTAGGGTTGGTGGCGGCTTATATTGAACTTGCCAGCCAAGCCGCGGCCAATGACACCGCTTTGAATCTCCCGTGATCGGTTTCCTCCAATCACGGGGGTTTCGCAGCGGGCCAATCAGTGTGGCTTGCTCGGCCAATCAGATCGTCGCGCGTCCTAGCCAATCAGAAACGGGTATTACAAGAATGCTAATGTACAATACAGAACATGAATCATGTCAGATATTACGGGATGGGTAGATGTTATAGGAGGAAGATGGTCCCCCAAGAAACAAGGCTGCATGTTATGAGAAGCTTTACAGGTGACACCAGCTTTGAATTGCCCTCTGGAAGTCTGTTAATAACCAGTGTAGATCACAAAACACAAGTATTCTGTCGGCATACCATGACACGCCCAAAACTGCTTGTGCCATTGTATTCTCCATGACATAAAACTTCCAAGTGGTCTTCAGGGCCATCCCTATGTAGGAGAGAAAGGGAGGGAGGGGAGAAGGGGTTGGGGGAGAGCAGACAGCAGACAGACAGATGATAGATCACACAGATTTCTGTAAAATAATCTTATGGGTCATATCCTCCACGTGTTCCCCAAGAGTTGCTATGAGTCTGGG